AAAAAAAAAAAAAAAAAAAAAAAAAAAAAAAAAAAAGAAAAGCAGGGAGAAAACAGAAGGAACAAAGGCTGCAGGCAGAAAAAGCTTCCAGAGGCTGGTAGGGAAGTTCAGCTGCACTGCACAGTACATACCTATAAGCTGAGTGTGGCCTCCCAACAGCACTATAGATGGTTCTGTCTGTTCTGTAACTACCTTGGCTTTCATATCCATCCCATCCTTTCCATTTCCACTGCCAGCATCCTATTTCACTCATTCAACCAGTATGTGTAGTGACAATCTACTCGGTGCCAGACCCTGAGAATCCAAAGATGAATGAGCCACTGTGCCCTCCCTCTAAAGATGTGAGAATTCACGATCTAGTGAGGAAGACAGGTCCCAGTGATAGACAATCACAACACATTTAACAAAGGCAAGAGGCCACCACCTTCTCTTCCACAAACTGAGGCTGCAGGCTCCTAACAGTTTTCCCTGCTCTCATGTCTCCCCTTTCAAGATTCATTGCCACCAAAGCACTGCTTGGATCATCCTGTTCTCTCCCTGAAAAGCTTTCTATGCCTCTCCATTGTCTACTGACTTCATGCTTATCTCCAGAACCTGGTACTCCAGATCCCCCATGCTGTGGTCCCAGCATGCCTCCCCAGCCTTATCTCCCACTCCCCTCCTAGAGGAAACTTCTGCTCCAGCAATGCTGTCCCCCCAGGAGACATCCCATCCGCCCATGCACTTTTCTTCATGCCGTCACCTCTGTTTGGAATGCCTGCCTCCCCTCGCCCATCACTACCTGCCTTCTAGGATTTAGACATTACCTCCTTCTTCTCTTCTTCCTCCTCTTCTGCTCAGCCCAGCTGGAAATGACCTCTGCCTCCTCTGAGCTTATACAGCTCCTTCCTTACATGGCAGTATTCTGGCATTAGAGGCACTTGTGTGCATATCTTATCTGCTCTACTGGACTTTGAATTTCATTCAGCACTGTATCCACAGTACCTAGCACAAGATGCTGATATTTACTGAATGAAGGACAAATGAAGATAAAAAGGGCGTTATGGACTTGGAGCTGAATCATAGGAAGCCAAATGAAGTTATTGGTGAGGAAAGGGGAATCCAGTATTTTCTAAAGAACGTTTATTCAGTTGGTCAGTTTTCAGGCATGAAAGTGTAAAGAGGGTCTGACTCCTTCATATTTCCTTTAAAAAAATAAGTAATGAATTTTCCTTCTACAATCTGCAATATTTTCTTAAAAGCAAATGTGGAGGAGCTTGTAGTTTCTACTGTGGCTTAAATTGTCGTAAAGGGAAAGGGTATGCTGTCCTGTATGAGAAAATATCAGACTAAACATATTTTTGACATTGTGTAAATATCATCTCCCCAACTAAAGCATATGTTCCTCAAGGAGAAGAATGAGTTCTGAATTTCCTTTACCAATGTTGCCTTTGTTCCACCGAGGAATGTGTGCACGCACACGTGCACACACATGCACTCACACATACTCAAGTGCATATGCACACAGACTATCACAGTGCTGAGCGGAAGGGTAAGTGCCCTCAATATTTCACTGGTCGGTGCCCTATAGGACCCTCATAGTGGAACTCTGTAAAATCAGGACAGGAAGGAATAATAGTAAATCTCCTCTTACCAAACCCACTTCTGATGACTACGAAAGCAACAATCATTGCCTGATGGCACATTTCACCAGCCAGAATTTGTGCACCTGGTTCAGTGAGGGCTACAGCCTGCCTAGGGGAAGGAGGGGGTTGCTTCCATGTTGTGGCCTGAGGGGATCATTGCAGCATATTGGCTTGTACTCTCTACACCAAAGGATGCAGGCACCAGAGGGAAACACACAGCATAAGAGATTTTGATTAAACTTGTTTGTTTGACATTCACTCTGGAAAGATGCATTCCCCTGTGACGGGTGGAGGAGGAGAGACTCAAGCAAGCCATAGGAAATCAAAGCTCCCTTTATTTCTTATCCACTTTGAGCAATCTTTCCGAAGTTGTGGGAATTACCCACTGATGTGTACATCTGCCTGTGGGTCTTCCTTTAGAATGACTCCAAAGAAGAGAGGTGGACCTGTAGGTTTTGATCCAGGGTTGTATAAATGATTGAGCACATAACAGACACCACACTGCAGACACCATTGAACACTATTGCTTTGACTGTGGCTAGCAGAATTGTGGTGCATAAGTGTGTTGGGGGGGTGCTTTTTTTATGATAGAATTGCAGTCAAATGTATACTTTCAAATGAGGATGCCTATTCAGTCACAGAAAGAAAACGAGGCAACATAACTTTCTAGATACCCAGCCATTGGATAGACCTGTGGGAAATGATACATTATTTCCAACACCATTGCCTCCTTCAGAAAAGGACCAGGAAGCACCTTCCCAGCTAGGTCTATCTGGGTAATTACAGTCATATACAGGACTCTTTAGCTTTCTTCTCCAGATGTAGTTCTATCAATTTGAGGAGTAGGGATGGGAGCAGAATATATAGGAATGTGTCTGTGCCCTTAGGAGTAAGCCGTAAGACGTATCTCAAAGAGCACCAATGACTTAGCTTAAAAGGTGTTTGCTGGGAGGTTTAGGAAACCAAATTTATCCACAGCCATTGCTAAGGTTCGTTGGGAATTTTGACCCTTGTACACATGGATGGCTCAATTGGTATCTTATCTTGTTATCTTGTTGTGATAAGTGGATGCAACCACTGCTCTCACCTTTATATGAAATCTTGCTTTGAAACAAGGGGCTGTGTGACTGAGAAAGAAGGAAACAGCCCCCAAGCTAGAAAACCCACTGGGAACCTGCATCCGTAGCATCTTAGGTCAGATTTCCTGGAGAAATGACAAAGAGTGATCTTGCTGAGGGTTGAGGAAACCCCTTAGAAATCAGGAAAGGGAAACCAATTGGGCAGAGTTGCTGGTGCTGAATATGGAACAGAGAGGAACCGCCTGCGTAATCCAGGCTGTTGGGGCCACAGTGTCGTCCTTCTGTCTGCTGTCTGGAAACTCCTCCCTGCAGGGAAAAGAGGGTTGATACCTTGGGATAATAAAGGCTGGGCATTGTTTTCCTCTTCTGGAAGAGACCAGGCAAATAAGATTCGGGCTGTACTGGGCATTCAAGCCTTTCCATGCTCCTTTCTCACCAGCGGCTGCTTCTTGCAGTCACAGAGCCCCAGAAAAGTCCATGGGCAAACAGACCAGGCAGAGGGAAGGATTTCACCATTAACCCAAGCACAGACAGCACCCTTCAGCCTTTCTTTGATAATGAGTCATTAGCTGCATAGTAGCAACAAGCCAACCATTTTGACTCAAATCCATTTAAACAAAGAGGGTATCCAATTAAACAACTAGGGTTTGGCATTAACTGTGATGTCAAATGACTTATTTGTTTATTTTTATTCACATACATGACTCTTTTGACCTCGTATGTGTGTCTGTGTGTGTACACTGAACTGGAGGGTCATTGTGTAGAGCCTCAAGTTCAGTTCTGTCCTATAAAATACAGTCCAACTCCTTTTCCAAGCCTACCAAAGGTTGGTAGAAGTTTTAAAATTTGACCGACTGCCTAGGCTGAGTTCTTTAAAACCTGGAGGGTTAACAATGAATTACTGTGCCATTTTGCATAATTGTTGGGGGAAGGTTAGTAGAGCCAGACTCCACCATTGTGTCCAGGCTGTATCCTGCTCACTTTGGGTAAGAAGAATATAATTGTTTAACATTTTAAAAGCAAATGAAAGCGTTTAAATATTTTGTAATTTGCAACTTGAAAAGAAAACAGTAATGGGTTTCCAAGTGCATGTCTTTACTTTTAATGAAGTGTTTATTTTTCATGGTTCTATTGGCAATAAAAGAACAGCTCCACATCAAAAGCCTTCAGGGAAGCAGTTTCCATTTGGAGGACAGTGAGATTGCCAATAATTCTAATTTTTTTTAAAAAAAAAAGTAAACTCACTAGGCTACATTTCTAGATATAGGTTATTGCTTATTATCCCAGGTAATTATTTCTTTTTGTATCTTACTCATGTGGGCAAATTACAAAACATTATGTACTCTTCTAAAAAGGTTTTTTAAAAATTTAAGTGACACCAAGATCGGGGGGCTCCAGAACGTTTTAATGAACGCGTTTCCATTATCCTCTGTGCCTGTTCATTTTGTTGGAAGAATGATTCATTCATTTCAAATTTGGCAACTTAAACAGCAGCAAATTATAATTTTCCCATCATAATGCAAAGTCAGTTTATTGGCTTTGAGGGCCCTGTTGTGCCTCCTTTTCCTTTGACAACACCACCCTCTGCTGGTTTTTGTGATCCATCACAGCTGAAGGGATCTAACCAAATTGCAAATGGAGGCCTCCCTGCAACATTGCACACAGCAGGACATGATTCATAAATCAGTTTTCCACCCTGGTGATTCATTACCAGATATATTTTTTCTGTAAAACAGCACAGCTCAAGGAAGTCATCAAGAATTCAGAACCTGCAAAAAATACCTTCGTTTGATTAATCATCTCTCTGACCTTTGTCTTCTTATTGAACAAGGTTAATAATACTTGTTATCACTCAAAGTTAAACTGTATTAGCTGCCAAGTGATTTTTATTTTGCAAAGGCCTGTTATCACTGTCGAGAGGCTTCAAAATTGGGATTGGTTACATTCCTCAGGTATGACCCCGAGGGACATCTGACCAATGCAACATTTCCCACCGGAGAGGTCAGCAGCTTCCACAGTGACCTCGAGAAGCTGACAAAAGTGGAGCTAGATACTTCCAACCGCGAAAATGTCCTCATGTCAACCAACTTGACAGCAACTAGTACCATATATATTTTAAAACAAGGTAAGAATGTTTCCTACTTCACCTGACTGTAATAGCACCTATCTTAACATCACAAACCTGTACACACAGTTAATAACTAGAATTCACCTCTGGCTGAGAACATGGATTCTTCTCTTTATTTTCCAGCTATGGAGGCTGAACACCAGACAAATTCATACTTTTCACAAGTTCACATATCAACAGATTGGGCTGCATCTCTGGGAGTTATGAGGTTAAATCCCTGCTAAATATGCTTTTCTATCAAGTTGTTTCCCAATGCCCAGCTACTTGTAAAGCTCTTTTAGGGATTACTAGATTATGTTAAAGAAATGGAGTCTGTCCCCCATCTGATCTTAGCATTCTAGATCAATGCTGACATGGGGGAACAAAAAGGACAAATTAAGACACACATACATCAAGCAAGAATATAAGTGAAATGAAAGAATTAAAAGCTCATTCTATTCAAAGAGAGGAAAAAAGAAAGAATGGAAGAAAAAGAAGGAAGGAAGGAAGGATTTGAAAGGAATACCTCTGAAGCTAGAGAAGAAGTGGACACAGAGAAAATTTTTCTCTCCACCCCATGATTATGGACTCATTCTGTTGTTAGGTTGTGAGACCAGGCACTCTAAGAGGAACAGTACCAACTAATGTCAGTTGTGGGGTACAATATCACTTAATATCACTTTGTGGGGTACAGCAACTGTGATGGTGTCCCCAGGTGGTAAGGCCGCTGAGTCGAAACTTCATAGTCTTTTCATTCTAGCTCCCAGCATATCAAACTGATCCAACAAGTCACAGAGGGAGTTTGTGAGGGAATTCTTTAAAAATGAAGAAGCAAAAACAAAAACAGCCTGAAGTGTTAGACAGGAGTCTTTTATCCAACAAACAAGATACCTCAGCTGTGAGAATAACAAGCCCCACATGGACAGAGCACGCATCCACCTGTCAGAGTGGTGGTCTAACCCCGAAGGCAGTTAGGTCCAAGCGCCCCATCTGCTCCTCCCTTTCTAAACTGGCCTCCGCAAGCTAAATTTATCTCTTCCCTGCTTCCTGCTCTTCCCTTTCTTCCCCCTCTTCCTCCTTTGCTCTTCTGTCCACAGAAAATACTCAGAGTACCTATCGGGTGAGTCCGGATGGTTCCCTACGTGTCACCTTTGCCAGCGGGATGGAGATCAGTCTCAGCTCAGAGCCCCACATCCTGGCGGGGGCAGTCAACCCCACCCTGGGTAAATGCAACATCTCATTGCCTGGAGAACACAATGCAAACCTCATCGAGTGGCGGCAGAGGAAGGAGCAAAACAAAGGCAACATTTCAGCTTTTGAAAGGAGGCTGAGGGTAAGGCTTGACCTTATGCAAGACATAGAACTTTTAAGGTTGTTTTTTTTTTTTTTAACTGCAGAGCTTCCCTAATCTGAAGTCCCATTTCAGCAAAGCTTTTTCTAGGTGACTGACTAGCTCATATGATATATTAATTCAAGAGAGGGTGCTAATGGCTGATAATGGTTCAGTATCCTTAAATGAGCATTCTAATAGGAGCTTTCTTTGTCATTACCCAGCTAAAGCACTCTAATAGTAGCAATTTCAAGTACCAAAAAAGTCTGGTTAGAGAAATACGTTTAGTCAGGAAGCCCTCCCGTGCCCCTGGCATCATGCCCTGGAGATACATATCTGGTCCACCAGGTTGACCCAGGTCCCTGCTTTGGAACAGTACCAACATCACTGTTGGAAAAAAACAGGCAGGCACACAGACAAGGATGTGAGACATAAGGCAACATTTGGACAACAGCAAGATAAAAGGAAAAATCAGTGAATTATATCATTACCGTGAATATATATTAAGGGCCAGAGGGGTAAAGGACAAGTTACTGAAATTGGGCTGGGGTGTTCAGAGAGAGCTGCCTGGAGGAAACTAAAGATTTGGGAGTTTTTACTCCTTACCAAACACAGTTCACCACAGTTAACCAGAGATCTCTGTCAAAATTGCTTTTCTGCAGCACACGAAGCCTACAAACACCACAGCACTCTGTCTACCTGTCCCTTCTTGAACATTACCAATGTTAGAATGACGTGACCAACTTTCCAAATATAGTAACATTCAATATCAGCCCTAGAGCAACTGCCACCCTGCAGGAAACAACCGGGCACTATTGAGGCCAGGCCTGCTTGGAGCACCTGTGTCAAGCTTGGGGTACCAGGAATGCTTGCATTTTCTTCACTCCAGTACTAATTCGGTAACCTTAAGGCTATGCAAATGCAACTGCCAAACAACCACCCAATTACAGGAGAAGCAGTCAAACCAGTCACATGGCTTGATATGAAGAAAATAAACTACAACAGTGCTCACTTTTCAATCAGTTCTATTGGTGCTACATACCCACAGACTTCAGTGGGTGTTTTTTGTAACCACCACTAAAGTTGTCTATGTGCACAAGTCAATTTGTATGTTTCAATTCTATTGACAAGTCTCTAAAACAATAGGTACCAGGTATGCCACTGAATTGAGAAGTGAAACCAGTTCAAATAATCAAACCTCTCTGTGCAGGTAGCAGTAGGGCTTTCCATCAGAGTTCAAAAAATAGGATCTCCTGGGTGGAATCCTGGACAGGGAAGTTAGATGACCTGGTGTTCATACACAGTTTTACAACTGGCTTAAGAAATGTCTTGATTTTTTTTTAACCTGTGAAATAAAAATGTAGTACTAGAGAAAAGTAAGGATTATCTACATATGGCTTATCAACCTTATGGATTCATCACAAAAAATTATATTGAATAAGTGATTTCTTAGTGCTTCCCCCAGCTTATAGCCTCAATAAAACATTATGAACCAAATCATATACTATGTGACTTTGAGATTTTCCATTCTTTAGGATAACCCATCCTATTTTCTCCCCTCCATATGCACAGATAATGGAGAGAAACGATAAACTGTAATTTACATCCCATATTCCAAATCGTTCTTAATGTTGAAAAGCTAATTGTCATAAAACATTTGGGAGCTCTATAGTGTTAAGGAGTAAAGTGTTTAGTTAATAATAATAATTTGACCCATTTCCCATCCTGTGGTATAGTCGAGCAGATTTGTGGACTGGAATATAAGTGCAACAAATTTAATACTTTTTCCTCTGTGTCACTTCTGGGGTACTCCCTGAGGTCCTGGGGCTGAAGAATGGAGCACCTTACTGGCTGAGTGGTGTTACTGTGCGTGCCCCTAGAAGTCCAATAACAGTAACAATCCTTTACATATGTTTAGTGCCTTAGAGTTAACAAAATGCTTTCATAGCCAGGATTTTATTTGATCACCACAACCATCAATTATTGTTATTCGCAATTTTTACAGATAAGAAGACTAAGGCCCAGAGAGGTTAACTACTTTGCCCAAAGTCAAACAGCTATTATGGATCAGAGCCCAGGCTAAAATGCAGGTCTTCACCTAGCGCAGCACCCTTTCCACTGCATCATGCTGTGTTGCCTTGTTCCTTAATATAATTAATCTATAAATCATTGCCCCACTCAGTGGAGCCACCTTGGCAGGGCCTGACTCCTCATTTCAATGCTGACAAAAAGAGACAAATAATCGACTCTAATGTACTGGCAAGTGTGGGTGGTGCAGGACAACTGGCTGGCCTCCAGGCAGGGAAAGCATGAAGGAGGCAAAAGGAGGAGGGAGGCTGTTTAACTGGTTAATTCTTACCTGCTCTCCCATTCTTAGGGATTTTGGTTTATACTGCTACCTTGGTTTCCCCAGATCAGGCATATCCAATTTAGTGGAATGAATATGCTCCCAAAAGGTAGGTGTAAAATCCAATTTTGACAAAAAAATTCTCTTTTTCCACTGACTTTATTATTCAAGACGTGGTGCCTCTTCGCTTCTGGTAGCTTTCAAGGGGCAAGTGAATGACAACTTTCTCTCTTCCTGGGCCAAATATGCAGTGACCCATTAGTAAGAATATGTGTAAAGAATAAGCTTCTCTGATTCCCCCAAGTACCTCGATACCTTAGACTGAATCATTTATTTCTCCTGGTGAAGCTGTCATTCCAGAGCTGTTGAGACAGAATTTCAGATAGTCACACAACGTAGAAAACCCTGTTGTACTGTGGGAAAGGGGGCTCCTCTTCGAAAACCCACACAAAAGTGTGATTGTAATTTGCAAATGTGCTCGGACAGCAGGTCATAAAGCACTAATTGTTCAGGCACAAAATGACAGGTTCATTTAAAAGCCCATTTGGTAAGATGTTCCAAAACGCTACCGATTATACCTACCCCAGACCTTCTAGCTGGAAAGAAAAAAATCAGAAAGGGATAGGCCTCTCCTTGTAGAGAAAGCAGTAAGCGTTGCTTTTCTCCAATGATCAGTGATTGTTTTTTGTACATAGTCAGGGTCCTCTTCAAGGTGAGGGAGTGAAATTGTTGGGAAACATGATAACCTGCTCAGCCTGAGCAGGCAAGGGATTTGTTACCTCTGGGCCATCCTTCATCAGCTCCATTAAGTGAAATAAATCACATTAACATCCTGAAATTTCATTTATTTAAAAAAATCCATTTCCTCCCAACCTGAGTTGTGTTTGAATCATCTTCCTTGCAAAGTACTTTTGCATCCAGTCCATGTATCTTCTCATCTGCTGCATCAATCTGTCCCCATAAATACATTTCCCTGGACAATAGAGAAATTAGAGTGCAGATAACAATAGAGCCAACTGTAAAAGAATTGGACATTCACCAAAAGCAAACTGGTTTAGGAACTACATCCAGATTTCACCTTTCTGTGTCTGTGGATAATAATCTGTCATATGAGACTTATCCCAGCATTGAATCCCAGAGCTCTTTATAACATTTTGCAGACTGAGTTGTAAGGTTACAGCAAAACCCCGGAACTGCAGCAGCCTCCTTTACTTAAAAAAAAAAAAAAAAAAAAGAAAGAAAGAAAGGAGTTTAGCACTTCAAACCAAAGTCATAAAACCAAGTAGGATGATTATGTGTTTTCAAGCAAAATGAAGCAAAGACTAATCTAAAACCCTCACAACTGATTTTTTTTTCCTTCATGCAAAGATAACTGGCAATAGGGTAGATTGGTTTTTAAATGCAGCATGTGAATGTTTATATGTGAGCTGAGCTCTGAACAGGAAAAGAAGCCCAGTTGAAACATAGGGTCCCAGGTTGACAAGTGATGGAGCATTTAGGAGGTAGCCAAGAGGGTTCCAGCATCTCCCTCCATTCTCAGAAATCGCCTTTGCTGACAGAGCCCTCAGCTACGGGATGTTCATTAGCTGCACAATATTTTAACTTCCTTCTTTCCAGGTTTGGTGGAGGCATTCGTTTTGTGAAAATTTAAATAGGGAGCCTTCTTGGAGACAGATTGATCTATTTTAAAAATATATCTGTAGTGCTTCGAATCATAGAAAAGAATATTTTTCTTAATCTTGCGTCATCCCCACTAAAATAACTAGAAAAAAAGTATTTCACACACAATTTCACCTATATACAGGTATGAGCATTAATGATTTGGCATTAAAAAATTAAAACTATCAGTTGTATGGTTACACAGATGAATTAATCAACAAGAACATACTTAAACAAGAGCAAATTAACAAGTTAAATGATATGACTGAAGTCAGATGAGAAGAATGAGTTAAGATTTTGAGAAAGAACTGGTATGCCCATAATTTTGCACTTTTCTCATCTATGAAATGAGACGTATGGACTGTGCAGTCTCCTTTATTAGCAGTATTATTACCATTAACCAGAATAACAGCAACTAACATTTCTTGAGGTCTTACTATGTGTACTGCCATATATTAACTCATTTACTACTCATAACACCTTATCAGGTAGGTTTGTTATTATTATTCCATTTTACAGATAAAGTAACTGAGGCACAGAGAGGTCACACAGCTAATAAATGGTGACGACAGGATTGAACCCAGGCAGTCTGGCTCAATAGCACATTTCCTAAGATCCCTTTTGGCACTAAGATTTTGTAGTCCAGTAAGATAAAGGGAATGTCTTAGCAGTAAAAAAGAAAAAAGGAAATTTCAAATGAAATATTATAGGATGATACTAACACTGAATATATGCCCTGTTCATTTATAGGCAACTCTGTGAAATAAAAGCGGGCCTAAGTAAGATTTGATTGTCACTCTAGAGATATCAATAAATAATAAAATCTGTGGAATTAATGCAGTGGTTGATTTTAAAAAATCAAGTACTGAGCACCTTAAAACTAGTGAGAGTAGAGTAGCATGTGCTACTTTAAAATCAGCTGTGACTTTTCTATCCATTCTCATAACTTCATGAAAATTAAATGCAGTACATCTTCCAAACTCTGACGTGGCTATTT